GATTGTTTGTGGATGATGAGCTCGCTCCTCCTGGATTCTGCTGTTCCTCCACCTGATTCACTCGCTTCCAGCAGTCCCGAGCAAAATGGCCCGTCTTGCCACAGCTGTGACAGGCGCAATTCTTTGTTCCTTTTCCTTTCTCAACTGCTTTGCCCTTCTTCGCCGAACTCCTCTCCCAGAAGCTCTTTCCTTTATCGGCCCCTTTCCATGCACCTTTGCCATCTTTGCTGCCATACTTCCCTTTCTCTTTGCCTTTGTCCTTTCCTTTGGCCTCTTTGCCCTTTCCTTTCAGGCCCTTCTTGCCTTTGCCAACTTTCCCAATGTAGTCCACCTCCATTGGGGTTGCCTCATCACCGGTGGTCCTAGTGGGAGGCATCAGGGAGTTTGAAGAATCCCATTTTGTCGTCACCGCTTCGAGCTGGATGATCCTGTCTTTGAGTTGCTCATAGGTTGTTGTATCCGTGAGCCAAAGATGTAAATGTTGGCGAATCTGCAAAGGGCATGCCAACAAGATGGATGCCACCTTGGCACCATCTGAGTACTTCTGGGATGAGATGCGCTCGTACTCCAAGACCAAGGCCTCGAACTGCGGCAGCTGCTCGGACACTGTCTTTCCTTCCGCAAATTGAATGCGGGACAGCTGGCTCAAAAGGGCTAGTGACCTGGCCCTCGTTGCCGGCTGCATCTCCTTCAGTAGGCTTTGCCATGCCTCAAACCTATTTTCACTCTTGACATGGCGAATCAGCTTCAATGGCCGTTGCCTCACATACGAAGTCAACAGACTGTAAAGTCTCACGGCCTTTGCTTTCGTCTCATCGGTCATGTCCTCGAAGTTGTAGTTGGCATCAACATTGCTTTCGACCATATCCATGCTGGCCGCCATCGAGGGATCGAGCCCCTTCACATAGTTGAGGAAACCAAATTTCCAGTCTCCCCATAGCTTCAATTAGATGCATCTCTTCCATCGGGCTTGAAGACATCCGGTGCTTTTAGATGCCGTGCCCAACCTTGTGCAGACTGGTTCAATGCCAACTTCTCCAAGGCTGTTGCTACCTGTCTCAGGCTCTCTTCAGCCATCGACTTCAATCCAAAGACCTTGGGGATGAATGTCTTCGTCTCCACAGGTGCAAGGGGTGTAGGTGTCCCGAATGCCAGTCCTGCGTAGGCCGGGATGTCCCAGAATCGCCAGTTGTAAACCAGCTCACTCAACTCGTCCCCTCCTGTTTCGTCTCTCAGTGCCTCAATGCGCGCTGCACAAACTTCCACTTTGCCGGCACCACAACAATCACTTCTTTCAGCTCCGACTGATGCTCCTTCTTGGCCACCACAATAGAGGCTCTCGCAATCTTCTCACTTCTAATCCACTTGATCTTGCTCAGGTGCTCCTCAGTCTCCACCACCAAGGTGTGGATCCTCCTCACTCGCGTCTTGCCGGTCAAGGACAGGATGGAGTTCGACTGGTAGTACTGAACCTCCTGGTGCCAGCAGCAGGAGCTCGAGGATCCAGATCGAAGTGAAGGACGCACCACCCCTGGATCGAACCGTCCTCCTCCGTGTCGTGGAGCCGGAGCTCTTCGTGGTGCTCGTACTGCTGCGTAGGTGGCGGAGCCCCGGTGCTTTACGACCAGGGCTCCGCTACCATGAAACGGCGCGGTGCGCTTTTCTCCTCAAGGATTTGGGTCTATACGGCCATCGTGCGTGTACCTATGGTCATCCCTCACGAGCCTAAGATTTCTGACAGATAGACTATCCTGCCGCATGACGTTTTGGCATTGAATCTAGCATTATGGCTGGGAAGTGTTCTGGAAAGTGGTCTGACATTGTCCGTTTTGGCATGCGTTCGGGCATTTGTGCTGCCATCAAGGGTGATACGTGCTCTCGCAAAAAAATGTTTTTCAATATGTCTGGCATGTATTCTGACATCAGTTCCAACATTGACATTCGCCTGACGCGCGTTCCTACACGGGTTCTGCAATTATAGTCTTGCACCCGCCACTGACAGTGGTGGCCTGGCCTGATCTGACATCTGTTCCGGCATTTTCCAACATTTTGTCTGACATTCATTCTTTCGTGGCAGGTGCCCTGACATCTACTCTAACATTTTACAGGGCGCCCTTTCTGCAGCACACTGTTCTGGAGAGTTGGCATCTATCTATTCTGACATCCTTCCTGGCATTCTAATTGGCATCTATTCTGGCAGTAATCCAGATCTGTCATCTGTTGTGAAACTTCTCCCGGTGATCTATCTGACAACTATTCTGAAATTCTTCCTGACATTCAACCTCGCAGTCGCACATCTATTCTGACATTCTTGTTGGATTCTCTCCGGCTACTGTTCTCCACTTGGCATCTGTTCTGACGTTTCTCATGGCACTCTATCTGGTGTGGTGTCAATTCGTGCCTGTGTGTTCAGCTTGCGCTCGCTGTGGCGTCCGGACGGACGCAGGAAGGCAAGGAGGAGGAGGAGAAGGAGGAGTTGCGCCTTTCATAAATTTTAGGACCGTGTGGCAGGCGGTCTCTCAAAAATGAGGAAACAAAAAAATGTTCACTTCGAGCAGCCCCACCCTGAGAGGAAGGCAAGTGATCATTATAATGGGAAACAACTTGCAAACTTTGGACGAGCGGTCAGGCCCCAGATATTGTAGGTATACACTGAGGGCGCAGCAATTTTTTTTACAAAATACTAAGGCCACACCCAATCCCAGATACAACGTGACAGGGCCAACGTGCAATTTTTTCTTCGCTCGGCGCCAATCTAGAAAATGTTGTAAGAAATGAAGGCGCCACAATGTCACAATGTCCTACATCTGATCTGATGAGTTTTAGGGCACCAAAGTATGACCCATTTGGTACGCTCTTTCCTCCAGCAGCTTTGTCTAAGAAGCTGGTCTTTGTAAGGGTCCGGCTTCATTCTTTGCAAGCCCGGAAACAAATTCTGAAGGCAGCAGCCAGAAAATAACTCACGGGACCTGCGTCCACTCCTCAGCGACTTCGGTTGATGGGGCCTCCTCCCTTGCTTGCATGGACCTGAGCTTGTATCCATTTAACTTATCATGTCGCCCGACGTTGGATTATCATCCTGCGTTTTGTATTTTTACATTTTCCAACGATATTGGAAATTATATAATTGGGGCAAAATCGGTACCTCAGGGTCACTCCTGATTAATACAGCTAAAGCAGCCAGTATGATTTTTCTTCCAAAACGGCAACTCCTTACAACATTCGCTGGTGCATCCACCACATAGTTTCTGCGCCCAGCAAGGGGCCAGATTGATAGCCATCTTAGACTGATATACAAAATTAGACGTGTCCTAAAACAAGGCTCTATAAAAATGACAGATCTTATGGCCCTAGCCATATCTCAAACATTTTTTACAAAATGGGTTTCCCTATTTCCCATGATTTTCTTACAATAATCATTATAGGGGTACAACCCCATGATTTCTTATGCAATGATAGCCTACAGACATTCTATATGGGGCTCGGCCCCTATACCATTGCGTAGTGGACATTTTAACCGGGATCTTGTTCAAGGCCGTGAGAGCTTGACCACCGATGAAATGCTTGTTCATAGGTTCCGGCTCGGCGCTCCTTTGCAGGCATCCCGGCGTCCGGTTCATAGTCAGAGAGTTAAATCCAACTTCGGGATGTTGGCAAAGAGAGGCCCTTCAAAGTTCTCCACACCGCTGTCCACGCGACATCTGACGCAACATATCTTGGGTTGGAGCCAATAGCTGTCCTTTTTTCCCTTCCCAAACATTTTGGGAAGATGCTCGGCACTGCTTTGGCCCTACCACTGAAAGAATCAGCCTTTGACAAATTTGAGTCGCGCGCAAAACACCACGCCCAGAAGCTTCCTGCTCACCTCTGGCAGCGAGCAGCAGACCCGATGCTCGGCTGTGGAATCTTTGGCATCTTTGGCTTCGGGCACAAAGTGGTACGCACCTAAGAATTCCACTCTATTTGCTTACCTTCTGGCATTCTAACTGCCGTAACATGCGCAATCCTCCCTGGCATCTCTTCTGGCACCCGTTCCGGCATTCTATGCCAAAGGCTATGGTGTATCTTCTGGCAGCTTTTCCCATGTACACTGGCATCCTTTCCGGCATTTTATCTGGCGTACCTTCCGGATTTCTATGACTTTCTTCTGACATCCTCTCTCTCTCTCTCTCTCTCTCTCTCGGCCTCTGGCATATATGCCTTGCGTATCTTCGGGCACATTGTCTGGCATGTATGCTGAATTCTGCCACTCTATCTTCTGGCATTCTACCCGGCATATCTTTCGACGCCCTTTCCGGCACATCTTCTGGTCTTCAAGCTGGCATATCTTCTGGCATTCTTTCCGGTGTTCTACCTGGCGTATCTGCCGGATCTCTATTTGGCAATCTTCTGACACACTCTGACATTGGTTTTCAGTTAGCTCAGTTCCCAAGCTGAGAAGGAAGGTGAAGAACCGGAAGGTGAAAGGGTCAGCGAAAACAGTATAGTCTAACCTTGTTTTCAATGGCACTCGAAAGTGATCGGACACTCAGCGCGGCCGCAAGTCTGCTGCAAGTGTGCGGTGGGAAAAAGGGTTTGGGGGTGGTAGCATGAAGAACCATGGAATCAAACAAGGCAAATTAGACAGCGTGGCCAACAGTTTCGGTTGCAGGTACACGAATGGGCGTCTCCATTCGCTTCCCCTCCTGCTTGAAAAATGAATCCGATGTGAAAAGCCCTTAGGAACAGGGTTTGACACACACACACACACGGTGCCGCTTTGCGGCGCCCGTGCGAAGGACCTGAATAGTTACACACACACACAGTCTTAGCGCGTGATGAAGGTGAAGATATTATGGAAGACGAAGTTGGTAGCTGTACCCTTCGCAGGCGCTTTCCGGAACAAACTGTCCTTGCTTCTCTTTTCTTCACACTGTCACAGCTAACTGCGCACGCCTTCGCACACCTGAAGCGTGTCTCGCTTATTTCCCCGATATCCAGCAGCCCGCTAGGGGCAGGACCAGCGGCCGTGGTACATGCCGGCTGGCGCGGGCACCTGGTTCCCAGCCATTGAAGAAACGGAAGAACAACCGGATCAAGACACGCAAATCAAACAGCCGAAGCTGAACCATGCGGTTTTGCTCGCTCCACCGTTTTGGTGGCCTTATTGCCGTGACCCTGGCGCACATCGAACGTCAATCGTGTGTTGCGCCGTCCGCAAAAATCTTTTCAGCGCTTGCCCCGCAGCCATCTCGTCAGTAATTGATTTAAAGCAACACAAACGCTGCCAGACCAGTTCTGAACAGAGAATGAATCGATCTTACGCCTATTTGCTCACCCCTCCTTCTTCGGTCAGTTCCGAGACGGTCCTTTGCTCACCCTCTTCCCGACAGTTCTGAGTTGAATCACTGATAGACTGATGTCAGTTCTGTGGCGTTGAGCTCCTCACCCAAGATTCAGGTGGAGCAGTGGGAAGAAGCCTGCGTTCCAAGGCAAGCGAGCAGCCAACATCAACCCAAGTCAAGGATTAAATCACTCCTATGATTGCTTAGCTGTGCCTACGGCCACTGTTTTTGGGTTCCGGTCGTTGTTGCTGGCCCTCTTGTGAACTATGGCGCAGTGGTTCATAGGATTTACAGAAAGGAAATTGAAACGAAATCAACAAAAAAGGTGCATGTACTCTGATTAAAGCAAACGTATATTATTAGGTTTGAAAAACAAACGACCATGTACGTCTAAGCAGTTTTGATGACTAACTTAGAAGTAGCTATATACCGTGAAACAAGGTGAGCCCGCGGACCCAAAAGCAAAAAGAAGCGCGCAACCGGTCTTTTAGCCCCCGTTACCCACGGCAAAGCACCCTCAAGCACACTGAAAACAAGACGGTTCCTTTTTAGTCGGGTTGGAGGTTGGATGTATTATATTATATATAGTTATACCAAGTGGCTGTTTTTAATCTCTGCAGCTAGTCTCCAATCCCATTGCAACATGGCTTCTGACAACCGTTCCAGGAAGCATGGAGCAGCATCAGCCCCCTCCATGCTTCGTTCCAACCATCAAATTTCAAACATTGCGGTTCTGGCATGCAACAGTCCTGCCGTTTTGGCCATGACTTGACTGTCTGGCGCATGCATTGTGCGCATTTTGGACACACATGATCATCATATAAGCCCCGCAACACAGCTCCCCTCGCGTCAGAACGTGCTTCCGCCAAGCATGGAGCAGAACCATCTCCTCGTAACTAGCATATCAGCCACGCAAGACCGCTCCACTCGCGCAACGACGTTCTGCCGCACCCATGCACCTCCCATCTCGCGCCCCTCCCTCTTCCCTCCCCAGCCCCGTCCACACCCATGCATGCGCTCCTCCCTTCCTTCCCCAGCCCCGTCCACACCCATCACAACGCTTGCTTTGTCTCGCTCTTCCGTGGCACTAGCGAGTGAACGAGAACCCAACATCGGAGATGCTTTTGGGAAAAGACATGTGTCTTGGTTAGTTGCTGTCCAAATATTGGAAAGGTCCTGTTTGTAGGCCAGCGCATCTCTCACACAACACAGTCAGCAGCAGCAGCAGCCATCACTGAAGGAATACTTTGGGATTTCACTCGTTGATGGCAAATTGAGCGCTGCTTTACTTCCGACTTTGCAGACTCAACATACCGCCAAAAAAACGAAGCACGAGCAACGCACAGTTTGAAATCAGACGATTCATATAGAAGCACAGACAAGTCACTTCAAAAAACGCCCCTTCTCTGCGTTCATGTTAGCATCCAAGTGTTCACGTTAGTATATATGCAATTGTGAGACAGCATGTTTGCGCGTTCACGTTACTATGTAACTTGATGTGAACAATGATTCTGAATACTCTGACTAAGACATTGCCCTACCTGCCAAACTCAGACCAGCACCTCTAGCTGAAATGTCATGTTCTGTTCAGTGTCATGCTCTTGTCTATGGTTCCAAACTCATATGATAGACTACATGGTGTGTGCACGCATGCATGCAGGATCATCAGCCGTGGGAACGAGATTGCCTCTGCGATCGCTACTGTGGAAGAGAAGATCTCTGATTAACACGGCTGGAATTGTCCAAAAATTTTTGCAAAAAGTATCTCGACAGCCTTCAAAGACATAGCATTTTCAAAGCATATATATTGGAGTTCTTTCTCTCGAAATGTGCTTCTTTGCCCAGCCTGCTTTGGAACTGTATCTTGGTGAGGCATCAGGATGAGCTCAAAGAGCACTGGCCAGAAACGATGCGCTGTTCAGTCCGAGCTTCAACCACACTGCCTTTCCAAGACCTTTGTTTCCCTGCAAAGCTTTAACACGTTTGTTTGTGGGGGTGATTCATTTGTTTGAACACATGAGTCAAGGAAGCGTTGCCTCCGAGCGGCGGGCATGGAAGTTTGCGGTCCTTATGTGAAATCCAGTCCAACAGTGGCCAATGCTGTTGTGTGCTCTACAACCTCTGGCTTTGACCCCTGCTTTGCATTTGGACACTGGCTCTCTTTTTCTTTGTTGTGTTCATGGAAATTGTCAATCCTGGATCCTGGTACGTGGGTTTTTTGCACCATGTTTTCCAAACGACAGTGGAGCGCTCAAGGAAAATGGACATCTAAGACACTGGATTTGCTGGAATCCCTTGGCAGCATGCCACGGATGGGCATGGCTTGGACGGAGCTCCAAACATGCACCATCCACAATCGGTCGCCCCAGGCTTATCCGGCTTATCCTCATGCCACGCGTGGAAAGATTCTCCACAGGGCCAAGCAACAAGTGACATCTTTCCGAGAGTGTGTTGGCCTAGCACAAGATTGGAGTCACTGCTTCACCGCCGCAGAGATTTCAATTTTATGTGGAATTTCACTCTCATGTGGGTGGTTTTCACTACAAGTAGTGATGATTTAAGCCCTGTACATATGCTGGAGGCCGCTCTGATATCTGAGTTTCAGACATGCAGCGGATGCAGGAACTCACTCAACACGGGGGGAGGGAGCTTTAAACAGAACTTCCAATGGTGGCTCCCCCTTTTATGTGTATGTTGTTGGTCCGGGCTGACCGGTTGCGAACATTGCCGGAAGGTGTTGAGCAACTCGAACGGGGAGCAATGGGTGGCATCCCACTTCATCACTCAGGAGCCCCAGGCAGCATGCCCACAGTTCTGCTCTCGGCATTCCAGTGTCAACAAATTTTGCAAGAGTCGCCGGGAGAAGTTCGCTCGGTGCCCCACCCTATAATGATCTATAATGGCACGTGGTCGAGCCTTTGGCAGGCCCCCGACTCCTGTCTGTTCGGAGCGCTTTGCTCACCATTGCTCGCTGCTCACCCTTCTCCGGCGTGTTCTGATTAGCAAGTCCCGATGTCAGTTCTGCGGCCTCGAGCTTTTACCCAGCTCTTGTGCTTGTCTCAGGCGGTCTTGCGTCACTGGGCAGGGAACCCATGGAGCGATTTGGGCTGTGGAGTTTGAGCCGCAGGCAGATTCTTCCAGCTACGTGGCAGATGGGCAAGCTTTCCCTTGGCACATTGGCCCCTCTACAAGATCAGGCCTCGAACAAAGGAGCTGGCGAACTTCTCACCTGGAAGTGTTGAAATCTACTCGAAGCTCTGTGAACTGAACTGCGTTCCGCTGTTGGGAACAGTGGAACTCGGCAACGTCTTGTTGGAAGGGTAGGTAAACAACATCCCACTTGGCGTCACACGCTCCGAATTCTTGGGCTGTGGCAATCACGTCCAGGTCCAAGAAAATGATTCTCCTGTAGGGTACCTGGTGCCACTGAACTCTTTTGTTCGATGCCTTGATTCATTGGTTTTGAATGCACCGGCCATGGAACATTCACTAATAGTCAAGTTCAATCAACAGTAACTGATTTTTCTGCAACTAGGAGCGCCATCCGACTCAGCCAGTGAGTTACGACTACCTAGGGTTGCTGAACTCTAGCCCAGCAGTTGCCATTGCATCCACTACTCAAAGAGCCCTCTCAGATCTGGTCTTTCTACACGCTGTTGGAGAGACATCGGTGGCCAGTGCCACATGACATTTATCATCCTTGCATCTTCGGAGATTGCACCTAAATAAAGCAAGACAACGGGGACATCAACCTCCTTCCGCCATGCTAATGGCAATGGAACAGTTGAATTCAATGAAGAGATTTGTTTCGCGCCGACACACGTTTAGTACGCTTCATTCCAGCTTGCTTTTTTCAGTGAGATTTCCTTCAGGCGCGCACGCTGCTTCTCCCCTTACCAGCAGCTCACACGCTCACGACGATGAGCTGGGCTGTCACCGCTTGGCCGCCGGTGGGGGTTTGGGAGGCCTGCGCGCTACTTCGTTCATCTCCTCTGACAGGTCATTGCTTCGAGACACTTCTGGCGTGGCTGCCTCAGCATTCTCGCTTTTTTCAGTGAGATTCCCTACAGCCGTGCACGCTGCTTCTCCCCTTACCAGCAGCTCACACGCTCATGACGATGAGCTGGGCTGTCACCGCTTGGCCGCCAGTGGGGGTTTGGGAGGCCTGCGCGCTACTTCGTTCATCTCCTCTGACAGGTCACTGCTTTGACACACTTGTTGCGTACCTGCCTCGGCACTTTTCTGTCCTCATTCCGGTTCGTTTTTTTTCCGTGAGCTTTTCCTGGCGCCGTGCACGCTGCTTCTCCCCTTACCAGCAGCTCAAATGCTCATGACGATGAGCTGGGCTGTCACCGCTTGGCCGCCGGTGGGGGGTTTGGGAGGCCGCGTCACACACAGACACCCACGCACTGCCTCAACTTACACGAGCACACACACATACGCAGACTCATATACACACGGACATAGATACACCCACAGAAACCCACACACTACCTCAACTCACTCCACACTTAACGGATAACTCGCACTCTGACTTCCTACGTGATGAAAAATGCTTTCGGGCCTTTCGGGCCACTCGTCGTCTAGTATTTTTTGGTCTTATGTTCTTTTATCTTATGTTCTGTTCACTTATCTTCTTTTCTCTTATCGTATTTGCCCTTTCCGACCGGACCGAATGATGGGCGCAAACGGGCCTGAAATCTGAGGCGAACAAGATCATATACGGCTGTTCCGCTTGGTCGAGCAGGGCTGCCCGTGAATAAGGCCCCAAATGCGCGTCAGAAGATGGTGATCAAAAAACCCACAAGTAGGCAACACCGTGGGGATGATGTCTCTTCCCAGTTTCCAAAGCTGTCCACTGGCAGCTCTAGTAAAATCAACAAAGAAAGACAGCTCAAATTCCGGCCTCTAGGCATCTGAGCTTTGTAAACACGTAGCGATGCCGCCTAGGTCGACGTTTTACTAGGTGTGAAAACCAGATTGGCTCTGCCAATGCCATGTCCCGAAACAGCCCGGCGCGGGGTCCAAAGAAAACATGACTGATTTGTGTAGTCACGAGTAGATGTCTTATTGGACCCACTTACGTTCACGAGAAGCCCTCGCGGTCTTTCTATCACTGTTTTGTGCCAGGTTCTTCTGTTTTTTAAGTCTAACGTCTACGGATCAGCAATTCCTCCAGGGAGTTCGACAATTACCGGTGCTGGGGTTTGTGATACTTATTGTACGATCCTCCCTTAACAGTGGCATTAAACTAAATCATACTATATATATCGAAAAATTGAAGGCCATTGAAGGCCTGTTGGAACTGTGAGTGTCGGCGGTGCATCTTCGAGGCTGGCAAAAGCAGTGTTCAGATAGGCGGCTAGGCGCCGTAGCGCAGGTGGGCCGGCTCATCTGGTTGAATTCCGTGGTGACAAGAAATTCGATAGGGTAACGTTCAAAGAGTAATTGCCGGTCATCCTGACTATTGGTGTCAAGCTCATACGGGCATGCTTCATGAATGTGGTTGGCTAGCCAACAAAAGGAATATAAAACATTAATTATCCCGGCAAGAGACCCCAAACAGCACTCAAACACAAAGGGATTTCGGCCAACGCCCATTTCCCGGTCTGAGAGGCTTTCATGTTTTCCCCCATACAGCTGAAGTTCCCCGTCAGCTGGAGTCCCAGGTGCTCCAAAAACCGCGGTCTGTTTAGACAGAGCTCACAGATTCTGTTCTTGCAGCAACTTCACCACCCCCAATAAGGTTTGCCCATGATAGTACCACAGGTTGAACAGTCTGTTCTTGGTCTGCTCCTTGAGGCTGCGAGGCAAATGATCATCATACTTCTTCTTCTCGCACGCGAAACGCGCATGATGACTTGGGTGTGTTTTGCCTCAGTCATAAGAAACTAGTCATGTACTGTAGATAGAATATGAACATGTAATTCGGAGCTTCGACGCACTTAGAATTTACATCAATAATTCGAGACGCTTGTCACCACAGGAGGACGAGATGACGGCTGTGGTGACGTTGGCTGCGAGGATGGAGTCTCACTGCTCACATTGCCTCTCAGTGCTAGTTGGCCCCTCCACATGGAAGCCCGCCTTCACAGCACCCGTCAGGGTTTTGTGAAGATCTCCGGACGCGCTGAAGTAAACCTTCCAGAATTGACCTGCCCGTTTGCTGCTCTCCGAATATGGCTTCTTGATGACCCGTCAAGCCATTACTACACATGCAAGGGTTTGAGCCTAAAGACCAATCAGCTTCAAAACGATTCGCTTTGTTCGAAATTACTCACTCAAACACAAAGGGATTTCGGCCAACGCCCATTTCCCGGTCTGAGAGGCTTTCATGCTTTCCCCCATGCAGCTGAAGTTCCCCGTCAGCTGGAGTCCCAGGTGCTCCAAAAATCGCGGTCTGTTTGGACAGAGCTCAAACACAAAGGGATTTCGGCCAACGCCAATTTCCCGGTTTACACCGGCGTAGACCCTAGATAGAAATATCGTTGCGATAAGAAGAAAACAATACGGTTCCCATGCGCCTCCTGTCTCGCTCCCCTCCATCTTCCCTCCCCAGCCCCGTCCCCACCCATGCGCCTCCCGTCTCGCTCCCCTCCGTCCCGACAACGCACACTTTGTCTCGCTCTTCCGTGGCACTAGCGACTGAACGAGAACCCAAGCATCGGAGATGCTTTTTGGAAAAATGTCGAAAAAGTCAACCATAGACCACAGCTCCACAAAAGCAAAGAAAAGTCAAAAGAAGTTGAAAAAGTTTTAAAAGTCGAGATAAAGTCAAAAGAGTCGGATCTTGGCAAATTGACTTTTTTGACTTTCTGAAATTTATGTGATTTGACTTTTTTGACTTTGACTTTTGGGATTGATTTTTTTTGACCTTTTTAAATTTGGGAAACAGGCTCTTTCCAATGAAAGTTTCTTATAAAGCTACGCCACAAAGCAGACCCTGTGGTATGCAGCCCCGTGTTCGTCAGCAGGCCAGTGTTCGTCTGCTTGCCAAGAGTTCGTCTGCAGAACAAAGAATCATCATGAGTCATCGCAGCCTACTTGAGAGAGGAGGGGGTGAACGAAAGGTGGCAGGGAATCAGGCGTAACCCTGGAGGAGGCCAGGGCCCCCCCGTGGTCGAACAGAAGCTCTTTCTAGAGGATCAAAGTTCAGGCAAAGCACCAGTACTTCAGGTCAAGTTACTTAGCATGATGAAATTTTGAAATCTCCAACAGCCGAAAAGCTCTTTGCGACAAGGTGAAAACACGGGTATTGATGGTATTTACGATGTTTTGTGGCCACTTTGAAGCGTACATAGCTTGAAACCATCCCAATATACAGGGTTTTGTGGCAGGAAGGTGCAGAAGCCCGTGTAAGTACCGTCGCTTTGTGCCACTTTGAAGCCTCCAAGCACCGCAAAAGCCCTTTCTGCCACAAAAAACCTGCAAATAGCATGGTTTGAGGCCACTCTTGAAGATAGGAGGAGCTGAAAACACATGAAAACACTTGTATTTACGGTGTTTTGTGGCCACTTTGAAGCGTACACAGCCCAAAACCATCGCAATTTACAGGGTTTTGTGCCGGGAAGGCACACAAACCCGTGTAAATACCGTTGTTTGTGCCATTTAGAAGCCTCCAAGCGCCGAAAAAACAATTTCCGACAAAATCTTTCCAGGTTTTGGTCAATTTTTCGACCATTTTTGAAGCCTAGACACTTCAAAAACCATCGGTTTTTACAAGGTTTTTGGCCGGACAGCCACAGAAAACCCTGTAAATTGCGTGGTTTGAGGCCACTCTTGCAGACTGGAGGACTTGAAAACACTAGTATTTACAGTGTTTTGTAGCTATTGACAAAGACCCGCGCCAGGGTGGAGTTGAAAGGGGGGGGGCCCCCCTCGGCCCTTAAAAGTAAATGTCGGAAGTTTTCTCAGTGAGGTGTCCACTCTGGTTATAGTTCATTTTTGCTAAAGCAAAAGGAAAACTCAGGTAGCGTAACCGCTACCTTTCGTGATTTGTTTATTAATTCCCCAGATAGCTGGAAGCTATAGGGGTTCTTACTTCTCAATGGATGGGTTCCAGATTGCGGAAATTGGCTGCCGCTGCCGCCTTGTTTCCCAAGCTAGTCTCCTCTTCCTGATTTCGCTCTTGGCTGCCGCTGCCGCCTTGTCTCCCAAGCTTGTCTCCCTTCCTGATTTCGCTCTTGGCTGCCGCTGCCGGCTTGTCTCCCAAGCTTGTCTCCCTTCATGATTTCGCTTTTGGCTGCCGCTGCCGCCTTGTCTCTCAAGCTTGTCTCCCTTCATGACTTCGCTCTTGGCTGCCGCTGCCGTCTTGTTTCTCCAGCTTGTCTCCCTTCATGACTTCGCTTTTGGCTGCCGCTGCCGGCTTGTCTGCCAAGCTTGTCTCCCTTCATGATTTCGCTCTTGGCTGCCGCTGCCAACTTGTCTCCCAAGCTTGTCTCCCTTCCTGATTTCGCTCTTGGCTGCCGCTGCCGGCTTGTCTCCCAAGCTTGTCTCCCTTCATGATTTCGCTCTTGGCTGCCGCTGCCGGCTTGTCTGCCAAGCTTGTCTCCCTTCATTGGCTGCCGCTGCCAGCCTGTCTCCCAAGCTAGTCTCCTCTTCCTGATTTCGCTCTTGGCTGCCGCTGCCGGCTTGTCTCCCAAGTTTGTCTCGCTTCATGATTTCGCTTTTGGCTGCCGCTGCCGCCTCTCCCTTCATGATTTCGCTCTTGGCTGCCGCTGCCGGCTTGTCTGCCAAGCTTGTCTTCGTTCATGATTTCGCTCTTGGCTGCCGCTGCCAGCTTGTCTCCCAAGCTAGTCTCCCTTCCTGACTTCGCTCTTGGCTGCCGCTGCCGGCTTGTCTCCCTTCATGACTTCGCTCTTGGCTGCCGCTGCCGACTTGTTTCTCAAGCTTGTCTCCCTTTATAACTTCGCTCTTGGCTGCCGCTGCCGGCTTGTCTCCCAAGCTTGTCTCCCTTCATGATTTCGCTCTTGGCTGCCGCTGCCGCCTCGTCATTTTCTTGCCTGTCTTTGACGCAGATGCTGTTAGAAGATGAAGATGATTTAGGTCTTGTTTACCTTTTCAATCCTTTTCCCGGCTTTGAGTGGGATGTCTCCCAAGCTTGTCTCCCGCTCTTGCCATGGTGTCCAACTTTTCTTGAAGTGCTATGTGGGGTCTATGCCGGTATAATTTATTAATGTTTATTATATAGTTTACCGTTTACCTTTGGTTTCTCATTTTCTCGGCTTTCTTGGAGAAATCCTCTTAGGTGGATGTCGCAAAAAAAAGCTTGCTTAGCAGCTAGCAAAGTTCCACGCGCATCCGCGGCGACCTCAACCCACTACTGACTCGTTGTTCTGGAGGGTCAAAAAACAATTAAAAACAACCGCGGGGCTGCAGTTTTTGATTCTAGGAGAGGGTAGAGACAAAGTAAGAACATGTGTGTTGACGGGGCTGCAGTTTTTGTTTGTACCTCGTTGTTGTTGTTCCCAACCTCTGGGTACCAATTCTGTTCAATGGAACCTTCCACAGAAGTTCCCTGTGCGAAACGTTCAACAAAACCAACGAGCGAAGATGAGTGCAACAAAGACCTTCTGACCTTCTGAGTCTCCAACTTTCGACGGGACTTGTCCTTCACACTCCCACGTGGACAGTTTGAAACGCAGTTCAGACTTCTTCACACACATTTGGCAAGACTAACAACGAGAACGAGACTCAGTCGCCCGCCGCTACTGGACAATCTACAAGATCCACCTCTTCAACCTTCATGGGGCTGAGTTGAATCTGAATTGCTCTTTGCGGAGACAGCAAATACCGCATTGGCTTTTAGTGCCGCGCTTCCCAAATCGCGCTAAGGCTCTTCACGTGTTCGCCTGCGCAATCAACATGTGAAGCATTGTGCTCAACAAAACTCTTCCGAGGCCCTGTCCCTGAGGCGCTGGGTGGTCTTCCCTTGAGGTGGCTGAGTCACAGCAATAACAGAGTTCACTTCATGTACAGTAAATGCAATAATCTGGGTGGCTTGCGCAGATTTCCCCACTAGCCTCATCAACTCATTGGCGACAAACCAACGTTTCACTTTCACACACTCTGACATTTCGGTTAATCTATTCCCAAGTGGAAAAAATGCGAAGGAACGGCAAGGCGAAAGGTCCAAGAAATTGAAGATGTTTCAACAATGGTTTTGTGCACATCTGCAGTTCACGAACGCGAGGCAGCAGAAAGCGGCTGCAGAAAAAAGGTTTGGGGGAAGTATCGTGAAAGAACCATGAATCAAACCGAGAACAGTGGAGTCACAGCTTGTGCAAACGTTAGTCGCAGGTACGTCGATTTGGCGTCCCAAATCGATATCACCAGCACACATCCAGTGTCTTCGTTGGTGCAAGACTGGATGGGCTGCTATGGGCTGCTTGCACCCCCTGCTCGAATAAACAAAGGAGGAAAGGGGGAGTACCCTTAGAAACAGGGCTTGACACACACACACATGGCCGTTTTCGGCGCATATGTGTTGTGGTTTCCACGATTTTCCGCAAGAAACGCTGGCACTCTGTGGCGTCGTGTCCCTTTAGGACATTAAGTCGCACTAGTTCAGCTGCAAAGTGGTCATAGTGGAAAAAGACTTGTCTGACCACTTTGTCATAGTGGAATGCGTGAAGCTGTACATGCTTGAACGTGGAAACAAGCTGCAAAAACGTGGAAATGAATTCAATCAATTCAAGTGGAAATTCCGTGATGCCCGGCGGCGTAGTGGCAGTTAATTCAGTAGTGAAACTAAGTCGGTTAAGAAAATCCGAGGCATGGTGGAAGCGATGAAAGCAGTTACACAAATCCCGGAATGAGAACAGCGCCTCCTTGCGGAGGATCACACCCAGCACCCAAGTGGGACGACTGAGCGGTTCACACTCTGACATTGGTTTTCAGTTAATCTATTCCCAAGTGGAAAAAGGCGAAGGAACGGCACGGCGAAAGGTCCAAGACATTGAAGTCATTGAAGATGTTTCAACAATGGTTTTGTGCACATCTGCAGTTCACGAACGCGCGGCAGCAGAAAGCGGCTGCAGAAAAAGGGTTTGGGGGAAGTATCGTGAAAGAACCATGAATCAAACCGAGAACAGTGGAGTCACAGCTTGTGCAAACGTTAGTCGCAGGTACGTCGATTTGGCGTCCCAAATCGATATCACCAGCGCACATCCAGTGTCTTCGTTGGTGCAAGACTGGATGGGCTGCTATGGGCTGCTTGCACCCCCTGCTCGAATAAACAAAGGAGGAAAGGCGGAGTACCCTTATAGAAACAGGGCTTGACACACAGTCTGACATTGGTTCTCAGTTACACTCAGTTCCCACGCTGAGAAGGAA